GGAAACAATTCTAACATTATGAAATAATCATTTTAATTATGTTGCAATACACTGCAGGATGCTAACCCTTAATAAACTCAGGATAAACTCCAAATTAACCTAACAGAAAAACATTCATTAGATTGTATTTTACAAACACACTAAAATGTAAGAAGTTGTTAATCATCCTACTATAGTTTTCTTTCTTGTTCAGGACTTGTTTTCCCTGGTAAATTCTTATAATCCAATATGCAGGATAAAACATTACAGTTTGAGTGTAAGAACTATGCCTTATTTAACTATCCCCAGAACCTAGCCATAAGGTGCTGACATACAATAGAGTGTGTTCAACATTTTCTGACTGAGTATAGAAAAGGTAAAATAGAAAACCATACTATAAGAGCTGCAAGAAAGGAACAAATTATTGTGAAAGTTAAAAGGAAGAAAGGAGTTCATCCAGTAGGAGGTAGAAGTGAGGGAGGGGAATAAGAAAAGGGACCAGGAAACGAGATAGATAGCATATACAATAGATTTTGAAGACTAGGTTGGAGTTTCATAAGCAGGGTTAAGAATGAGAAGGAGAACAGTATTAATGAGTTTGTAGAGGGAGGAAGGTGTATAGCAGGTTTGGAATGTCAGGACAGAAAGTAGAGTTGGAATATAGTAAGATAAGCTTGTTAGTGCTTTTGTGATAAGTCACTGCCTATCTTGTGAAGAACTCTGAATTACCAGTTGAGGAATTTTTCTATTAGACCTTTGAAGATATTGAATAAAGGGTATTTTGGCACTGATACAAATGTCAGCGTATTGAGGCAGTATACATAATGGTTTAGACTAGAGGTCACCTAACATTTTCTGTAAAGGCCAAGTAGTAATTATTTTTAAGCTCTGGGAGCCATATAGTCTCTATTACAACTACTTTTCTACCATTGTAGCCGAAAAGCAGTCATAGACCATATATAAATGAATAAACATAACTGTTCAAGTAAAACTTGTTCACCTCCTTGTAGGTATGTGACCTTGTTAATGTTACTTAATATCTCCAAACCTCAGTTTCCTTAAACAATTAAATGGCGGTAATAACTGTTCCTGCTTCATAGAGCTGTAATGAGGACTAAACGAGAATGAATGAAAAGCACTTAGCATAGTGCCTAGCTCATGATTTACTGTTTGTTACTTTCTGTGGTGATAATATTTATTATCTGAGTCTCAAAATATAATTAGAGTGCATTAAATATGTTTCATAAGGGTGGGTGTGGTGGCTCACGTCTGTAATCCCAGCACTTTGGGAGGCCAAGGCGAGTGGATCACCTGAGGTCAGGAGTTTGAGACCAGACTGGCCAACGCATGGCAAAACCCTGTCTCTACTTAAAAAAAAAAAAGTTAGCTGGGTATGGGTATGGTGGTACACACCTATAGTCCCAGCTACTCGGAAAGCTGAGGCAGGAGAATCACTTGAACTTAGGAGGTGGAGGTTGCAGTGAGCCGAGATTGTACCACTGCACTCCAGCCTGGGTGACAGAATGAGACTCTGTCACAAAAAAAAAAAAAAAAAAAAAAAAAGTTTTCTAGAAAGCAACTAAATCTGAAAATCTTACTTTCCTTATTGTATTGATTTTCTATAATCTTTAATGTCAAGGGAAACTATGCTTATGACTTCTTTTATTTGACATTTAAAAGGGAAATTTAAAAACTAAGAAGGAGATGAATGGTAGGCTATTTATTTTCAGAATAGTCCCTGAATTGATGTACAAATAATCAACTGTGTATCAAATACAATTGCTATTTGATCTGTATATCAATTATCAAATATAATTTGATAACTGTATTGCCTCAAAAGCTAATATACTTTTAGGCTGTATTAATATCAAATATCATTTGATAAGTGATACAAATCATCTTTTGTGTAGGTATGTGGCCATTTTACCTTACCTATTTCTAGATACTACTGAAAGGCAAGCATTAATGCCTGTAATTGTATAACCTTTGTAACATTTTACTATTAACACGGAATCAGCTGTATTAGCAAAAATTCATTTTCTTGTATAGAGCATATGAGTAAGGTACTGGGCTAGACAGGAAAGAAATAAAGGCGTATATGAACTAGCCTATGGGCTTTAACATCATTAATTCTATAGTTTTTGAGCATTACCCAATCCAATTTCTCATTTTAAAGATGAAGAAACATGCTTATCAAAGGCTAAGTATAATGAAGCATGACTTGTTCCAGTTGTCCTGTGAGGTAGACAACTGTGGAATGAGAATCTTAGTTACCAGGCTCTTAATCCAGTAGTCTTTACATATTAGTGCTTCTGAACATTTTTTTTTTTTAATGCCTTATCAGAACATTGGTTCACTCAACCTTCAATAGCACTAGCTCACAACAAATGACTTTAGCTGTAGGGATAGGCAGGATCCATTTGTATGTCCTTCACCACTATTTACAGCCCAAGAGGGGAAAATCAGAATGAAGGGGATGCTGTGGAATTTGGAAAAGATCCTCCACCTCCACTTCTATAATGCTGCAATGGTGTTTACATAGATCTTGCTTCTACTATAGCTGAAGAAACAAGATTTATCTATTTAAAGACATACTATGTTAAATGTTAAATAAACGAGGCAGATCATAAGAACTACAGTGAAATCAAGAGTGAAATAATCATTGAGGACTTCCTCAAGAATTAAGAATGGTTTAAAATTCTTGAGTAGAGAAATATATTTCATTTAATTAATTAATTATTTTTTGAGACTGTGTCTCTATTGCCCAGGCTGGAGCATAGTGGCATGATCTCAGCTCACTGCAACCTCCACCTTCTGAATTGAAGTAATTCTCCTGTCTCAGCCTCCCAAGTAGCTGAAACTACAGGCGTGTACCACTACATCCAGCTAATTTTTGTATTTTTAGTAGAGACAGGGTTTCACCATGTTGGCCAGGCTGGTCTCCAACTCCTGACCTCAAGTGATCTGCCCACCTCAACTTCCCAAAGTGCTGGGATTACAGGCATGAGCCATTATGCTTATCCCAAGAAATATATTTTAGAAAGTCATTTATTCCACCAGATACTGAGTGTCCATTATATGTCAGCTTTTGTGCTACATGCTAGGCACAAAGTAGTGACCAAGACAGGACACAGTTCCTGCTATCTTATAGGTTAAAATTCCTGATTCATTATTAGCCTACAATTTTATGTCACTAATCACTAGGCTTTTTAAGGTTACACTTTCTACTGACTTTGCTAATGAATGTTCCTCAGTTTTCTTTCCCAGGGAGGTAGAAGTCAGATGAGAAAGGCACTTGATTTTAATAGGAACAGTGGCGAGTTCACACCTGTAATTCACATGGCAACTATAGTCGTGCAGTCCCTGTGACCACTTAGAGAAAGACTAACAAGAGATTTAACAATTTAATTAGATTTTCTGTTATTAAACTCACATCACAGACCTCAAATGAATAATTTTCAAGGTGTCAGACATGAAATATGGTAGACTGAAAAGATAAAAAAAAATTAATGGAATGGTTTTTCATAACCATGTTATAGTTTAAAAAGAGAGCAATGTTATTTGAAGTCAAAATAATATTTTAAAAGACCACTTTTGAAAACAATTATGTAATTAAGAAATTTAGAACTTGCCAAGAAAGTGCTAATAAGGAACTGCATTGCTTTAGAAGTTTTAAAAAGTCTATTATTAATAATAGGATATGCTTATATATTATTATATACATACTATTTGTCAGACCTTAGTCTAAGCACTTTTATTAACTCATTTAATCCTCACAGTAATTCTCACTGCACATATGAGAAAATAGAAGTATAAAGTCATACTCAACGCAGATTCAAAGGCAGATAGTTTGGCTTCAGACTTTTAATCATAAGCTATATAATATTTAGTGGAAAAGAAAAGCAAATATGTTAAGATTATAACCTTTATAGGACTTTCACATGTATATGTCAGATATTTTAGACACTAATAATCTCTTATTTTTACATACTGCCTTATAGTAACGATGCACTTAAACAGACAAATTCAATTTGACAAACTAGAATAACAGAATATATCAGGTACAAATGTACAGTAGTGCATTTGAATCCAAGGAAGACAAACAGTAGAAATACTGGCTGGAGGGAGGTGAAGGTCAGAACTAAGAGTTAACGACTAGAATATTATGTATCAGCTATCACCCACTTCATGTGGTAAGTACCCTTATTCAACTAAGAAATATTACGTCCATTATAAAATTAATCCAAAATCATATAGCTTCAAAGTGGCATAACCAAGATTAGAATCCAGAGGTCTAACTATAAAAATTCCTTTCACCCTGTGTTGGGTTAACAGCAGACAGTAAGGAAAAAAGAAGACATTTTGCATTTTTGTTGATAGCAAGATTAACATAAAACAATGAAGTCAGGTGGCTGCCCCAAAAGCTAATATACTCTTAGGCTGCATTAGTATTATTATACAGTTGAGATTAGGCTTGGTATTAAGCCCGCCATATCTAGAAAGGTAGCAGATGTGGGTATTTAGGCCAAAGGGAAATTTTACAAGGAATATGACAGTAGCAACTACTTTCAAATAATTGAAGTTAAATAGATTAATAGACTAGATTTTGGCATTAGATTTTGGCTCAAAGAAAGAACTTAACTGTACACAGAGGTGCCAAAACTGGAATAGGCTGCCATATATGTTCAACTGAAGTTTAACCAAATGTTAGTAATTTTATGGAGAAATTCATAAACAAGGTAGGTGTTAAGACATGTAGTTTCATTCCCTGTCCATACTTCACATTACAACAAGTTTGTCTTTTACACGTTATATGAGCATTCCAATTTAGTTTTTTTTTTGGGGGAGGTGGGTGTTCTGATATAGTTAAAAAGTCTAAAACCACTGGATTAGATACATTAAACGTTAGATACATTGAAACCACTGGATTTCAATTCAAATTCTGTATCCCTGAATGGTTTTGATTAAGGCTAAGAACACAGAATCACATCTTGACTTTGTCAAAAACAGACCCAACATACCATTTTTTTCTGCAAAGAAAATTGCATCTTCTTTAGTATGGAATGTTAGAACCATGTTGGATAAGGGATCAGCCCTGTAAGAAACAATAATTTTTCCAGATTTAACAATAAGCTTTGGCAGAGGAAAAAAAAATCAATATTTAAAATAAATAGCGACTATGAAATGAATTAAGTAACTACTTAAAGAATATCTTTAACTGTTAAATACCTTTTCCTGTGTTAAATTTGGAAGATTCCTAACGTGTACTGTTAAATGATAACATTTGTCATTGCAAAGGCATTCAGTTAGTCTTTTTAATCATTTTATTCAAATCTAAAATACTAATTTGAGATGAATTAAAAAACCCAAGAGGATTCTTAAATAGAGCTTAAAACTTACTAGCAAGATTACTGATGTGTAAAATTGCTAGTACTACCATTACCCAAGGAAATAAATGGCACCACCACCCATTCTTGTTTTTTAAAAATTAACTTCCTCTGAGTCTCCTTTTTGGAGCTCACCCACTCTTCTTAACCAACCTTCCATCATTAACAATATTCCTTTAAAACATTAATAAAGCTCCAAGATCTGACATACAATTGAATTCTTCAATGTAGGATAGCATTAATGTTTACAAATCTACACAGACTCTTTAGAAAATCCAACTTCAAAAAATGTCACTTTTTTTTTTGAGATGGATTCTCATTCTGTTGTCCAGGCTGGAGTGCAGTAGTGTGATCCTTGCTAACTGCAACCTCTGCCTTCCAGGTTCAAGTGATTCTTGTGCCTCAGCCTCCAGAGTAGCTGGGACTACAGGTGCACACTACCACACCCAGCTAATTTTTGTATTTTTTAATAGAGGCAGGGTTTCACCATGTTGGCCAGGCTGGTCTTGAACTCCTGACCTCAAACGATTCGCCTGCTTTGGCCTCCCAAAGTGCTGGGATTACAGGCCTAAGACACTGTGCCCAGACTACTTTTCTTCTTATAACAAGGTAGAACACTGTTTGCTACAAATGTTTATTATGAATCTCTGAGGTGAATACAGCATTCTATGAAATATTGTTTAGAAATGTGGAAGTAAAAAATATAGAAAGGAGGATTCAAAAAGTAATTTGGATAGTGGAAAGATATGAGATACAGAAAGAAGAGAAAACATGGGGAGTATCTCTCATTGACTGGAAGACCCACAAATTACTCCTGCTGAAGTTCTGGTCACAGACCGTGGTTGCTATTCTGAGATTTCTGTAATTATACAATCTTATAACCCAGCTACCCTCTGTAAGTAAAAGAGCTTCATGTGACTGGCTATATTAGTACTAATAACATCATAATTTTATATTGGTTCCTCCTTTTCAAAGCATACAAAATTTTTCAGTTGATAGTTAAATAAAGTATTTAAACTGAGAACGGAAGTGTCAACATAAATACAATGTAGTAATCTGATGAGTGTTGACAGGCACATTGGCTTAGTTGAGAAGAAGAAGACAGAAAAAATGGTAGGAAAAACTTAGGAGCCAGGAGACCAAAGCTCTGTTTCCTGCAAAGGTGGTATAGCCTTTATTATTATCCTCACTTTATTTATGAATACATACATATAGAAATCAAATAGCAACAACTTAACATCCATTGTATCTCATAGAAACAACATTCATCCACTGAAAGAAGCCACTATTCTTCCAGCCATTCAGTTTCTACCCTTCTCATTCTCCTTCAGTTCCTGTATTTTGGTAGTTCTTTTCTAGGTATGCTGCCACCACCAGTTTAAGCCCTTTTAATTCTTCCCATAACCCCATTCTAACTAATCTTTCTGCCTCCTTGACTCCAATCCACAATTCACCAAGATTAGTATTCCTGAAGTTCAAATCCCAAACTCACTGCCAAGTTCAAAACTTTCAGTCTTCTACCCTGGCATTTAAGCACTACTATAATATGGATGGAACTACTTTCTAGCCTTCTTTTTAATTACTCCTTTGAGAAGTAACCAGCTAGTCAAATGAGGTTGCTAATTGTTTTTATAAATGCAGGATATACTTTCCCATCATTTCAATTTGTTTCTTCCTCTTGAAATATTCTCCTAGTGTCTGCATATGAAGTCCATCCAAACAATCCCTCATGGTTCACTCTCAATACCAATCTATTCCATGAAGTCTTTCATATCCTACCCTCCTTCAACTATATATAATCTCTCTTTCAACCTCCACTAAATATAATTTGTGCTTTTATTTTTTGACTTTATTTGCTCAGTTCTCAATTACTGAAGTTCCAATTTGGGTAATGGCAGAATAGTATATCAGATTCATCTGCTTAACTATAAACTCTGGACAAAGCAGAAAAATAATTTTCAGAGACCAGAGACTAATAAGCAGGAAAGAAACCTAGAGAATTCAATCTTTGAAAAAAACGAAAGAACCACAATGGATTAGATCCAACTTTATACAGTGTTTCCCCTAAAGGTATTCTCTAGTTTAGACAAGCTAGGAACATGGAGAACTCAAGCAGAAAGCGGTAATCTTAGTGCAAGGAGCCTGGAGACGGATCCAGGACTGCCAGAGCAGCTGGAAAAGAGTAATTCACAGAGCAAAGAGCTTTTGAACTGTACATGATTGAGCAAGGCTTCAAAATGATAAGTGGGAGGATGAAAAGAGCTGAGCGAAGATTTCAGCAGCTGCCTGCTACAGTGGAGACTGAGTCTGAGGGAGAATGTGGTAAACACCTTGTGCTTTCCATCAAAACTTCAGAAAGGCTATGCCTTTTTATTTTTTAACACTAGGTACTAAGACTAAGGGTAAAACTGAAACAGATCCACTCCAACAATACATATTCCTCCACAAGTTCGAGGTGATCTATCAGTAATTTAACTGTCTGTTGGAACAAAACTTATCAAGATGCTACTGTCATTAACTTGAGAAGCATAAAGGATCAGATAATTAATTATTGTTATTTTATATAAATTGTTTGAATATTAACTAGTGACTGTGTCAGGGGCTAAGTAGCATATTAGAAAGCCACATATCCACTAAAAGATATATACAAGATTCTTCATTTTAGTACTATATTATACATAATAACCCAAGCAGAAATTTACACAAATAGGCAAAAAAGCCAGTCACAGAAGAGCACATAAAGGATGATTCTCTTTAATTAAGTAAAAAAAAAGAAAGGCAAAACTATATTTATAGAAGTCAGAACAGCGGTTACCTCTGGAAGGCTTAAATCAGAAAAAAGCATGTGATGAAATAGGAACTTCTGAGGTACTGGAAATGCTGTTTCTCAATCTGGGTACTTGTCGTATGTGTGTGTGTTCAGGCTGTAAAAATTCATGAAGCTGTATGCTTCTATCTGTATACTTTTCTTAATGTATATTTCAATAAAGTTTTAAAAGCAATATTAAGCCTGGCAAAATAATACATTGTATCTGTTCATAGTTTCAAGATTAATCCCCGCCCCACCACCACCCCTGGCCCCAAGACAAAGTCTCACACTGTTACGTGGATGGAGTGCAGTGGCAAATCTTGGCTTACCACAACCTTTGCCTTCTGGGTTCAAGTGATTCTCCTGCCTTAGCCTCCTGAGTAACTGGGAATACAGGCGCCCACCACCATGCTCGGCTAATTTTTTCTGTATTTTTGGCAGAGATGGGTTTTCACTATGTTGGCCAGGCTGGTCTCAAACTCCTGACCTTGTGATCAGCCCACTTAGGCCTCCCAAAGTGCTAGGATTACAGGCGTGACCCACTGTGCCCAGCCCAAAGGTTGATTTTAGGTATTTTTCCTTCAATATCATTTTCATGTACTAAATACTAGTGAACATCAGTAAGCCAAAACATATCGAAAATTGTTTCATAATTACAATGTACAACATTGGTTGGCAGATTGCTTTTTGTTCTATACCATAAAACAGACTTTGTGAAGCTACCTACTAATTGTGAATTTCAATGATCATTTTCTGCTTATGAGCAAAGTCTACTTAATATTATTCAAAAGAGATGTAAATGTCAATACAACATAAAAATTAGTATTGTAAATATCAACTGACTCTTCACCTAAAAGAACTATTTATGCATAAAAGATATTGGTGAAACATTCTGGCAATGAGAATTTTTATTAGATACCCTCTGAATGGCACAGAACAGCAAGTGAATGAGTTTCTTCTTGGGAGGCTTAGCTTATTTACTTATTTTTTAGTTTAACTATCAATAGCAGTTATAAGCGGCTCTAAATGCTCTTAGTTTGATTAGCACCACTTAGAAATATCAAGTGGTCATTTTTCTGTAAACAGAATAGACATATATAATAAAGACCATAGAGAAAAAATATGTAATACTAAAACCAATATATTAATAAATGCTTTTGTTATTTAAAAATATTTATAAGGTAAGAAATGCCAAATAGCTGGGCAAAGACTAAAATTATATTCTGCTACAGAAGTGTATGTGTGTACACTCCCACCACCCTGCATCAGGCCAATTCCACTGATTGAGTGAATGCAAAAATGTTAAATACTTATTAACAAATCAAGTAATATACTTTAAAAATAGTACATCTATGTCCAATGACAACACATTTAATTGGATCAGAACATATTTAACTGAAATTCACTACATGTCAACAGATTAAAGAAGAAAACGACCTTCAATAGATGTCACAAAAACATTAAATAAAATTCAATACCCATTCTGATTAAAAAAAAAATTATTGGTAGATCAAGATTAGAAAAGAACTTTGTCCACTGTATATCAGAAACATTTCTGCTGAAGAAGCAAAGAGGCAATAAGGATGTTGGATATCACATTAATATCCAACCTTGTAAATTATAGTCAATGCAACAAGGCAAGAACGAGAAACTGGCCATAAGGAGAAAACAAACTGCTACTCTTGTTAGATTATACAACTAAAATATCAAAGTGAAGCCCTTGAAAAACCATAAGAACTAAAGAGATAGTACATAATGTGGCTTATATGCAAAATCAACTTTAAATATTAGCAGTACTCAACTAGAAAATGTAATGAAGAAACATCATCTGAAATAGTGATAAAACTAGGCATAATTTTAATAGGAAATGTAAAAACATTTCATCAAAAGACATATAAA